CCATCTGGTGGTGGTATCCGGCAGGGGATTATTTCTACATATTGTACATAGAACTGTCGTGTCCCAGGGATGATTTTCTGGACACTGTGGGAAATCTTCTTCTGATTTCTGTTGTGGAGCCTTAGGTTTGGTAAATAATGAATTGAACGAGTTTTACTTTTGGTTTATTATTAAAATATTCGATACGACTTGATTCTTTTGCGTTCTTCCTAAGACTAATTACAAATCCTTACTCTGCGTATAAAGTTAACTAAGCAAGGGGTGGGAGTTTGAGGAGTAAGCACGATTTTGATAAGACTGCTCTTATACGGATTTTGCCAATTCTGCGTCTGGTTGAAAATATGAGCGATGTTCTTTCAGTAGCTGGTCTCGATGAAAATGCTTATTCTGCGTCTGGTTGAAAATATAAGCGTTGTTCTTTCAGTAGCTGGTCTCGATGAAGGTTACCTTTATGCTGATGCATATATTTATTATGGCGACTAAGAGACACTTTGTTAACAATAATAATTGTAATAATAACGGTTGGACACAACAGAACAAATCCGCGATTCAACTAAGTCATGCGAAATTAGTTTTCGTATACAACAAATCTGGTTACTCTGTATCGGGACCGTTTTTTCTATATATACTTTCTTTTTTTGTATAGTATATTTTTTTTATATTTATATATACATACATATATATTTAGGTTTTAAATCCCATGTACATACTTCCTTCCCAATTTGCTTAGTTTCTTCCACTAATTTCGATGCAATTTATGCATTACTTTCGCTGTTTACTCACTGACAATCACAGCTACTATCTATCATGTTGAACGCTGTAAAATATTACAAAGAAATTGAAGATCTTAAAGTAATCTTAGCTGCAATCGATTTTATATTTGATGGAGTCGAATCGGAAGAAGAGGTTTATTTTCTTCAGTGCTGCTGCTGCTTTTGATATGTTCGCACGACGAGGCTGGTATCGTAGACTGCACTGTATTTACCCTGTAACGACTGGGAATCTGAGGAAGCAAAGAAGCTTCAATGTTTTCCGATCTGTTGGTCAACGAAGTTGACTGTTGACTAATCGACTCCGAATCTCTGATTCATCCGAAGAAGTATCACTCAATCGACTGCATCTGAAGCTTGAAGAGCTGCTGTTAATGTTATCTTGCAAACTTAAAAGCCTGGACTCCAACTCTTCCGGCTTGAAATGAGCCGGAGTCGGAGCCGCGTTGAGTGCATTCGACGGATGCATCCCTGGAGCTCGCCGATGAACTACAGCTCGAAGATGATTTGCTTGAAGACGAGCTACTGCTCGAAGAAGAGCTGCTGTTGCTACTTAAACTGCTAGATGATGTGTTCGACATGATGCGGAACTTCTAAATGAATACCTTCGATTTGCAAGCACCTCCTTTTATACTCGCAAATTCCACTGATAAAAATTCAATTATTAATAATAAAAAAACAACAGTACACTAAAAATAGGAATTTACTAAACCATAGAATAAAACAATCACGAAATAATACAATTGAACTGAACATTTTCAATAATAAAAATGATACAAATTAATAAATAATATGAATTTACTAAAACAGTTGTCTAAAACTGTCAAGAAATGAAACATTTGTTAACTGAAATTTTTATAATAATTCAATTAATAATAATAAAAAAAATCAAAAGTTAATAAAAATTAAAAGAGAAGAAAAACATTAGTTATTTCTTATCAGACTTCAAATAACCCATTATCATAACATATGTGTTTAGAAAATAAATTAAAGTATTTAATTATTTTGCAAATGCTCAATTCAATCACTTTTTCTAGATGGATTATTACAAGAACCGTGAACTGCTAAAAAGGACGGTTAATAGGTTGAATTATTTTACAAGAAACGCGTGGCAACACCGTGCGCTGAAAAAAGGAACGCTTGGCTTCAATAAGATAAGCATGGATAAAAGAATTAATATGAGTTGAGAGTTAGCTGATATAAAGTGCAAAATAGAGAGTTGAATATAATTTTATTATTGTTGTTAAATATAAATATAGTCGAATATAGTTTAATGTACACCCACATAACTTGGTCCTTCGTCATAGCAAATTCTTCAATATTTGATAAAAATATATTCAGAATAAAAACTGTAAATCATTGGAGACGTCCTCACGCACTTTCGATTGTATCAATGATACTCTGGGTTTCGGGTGGTTAAGACTCTCATACATGCCTTCCATCAGCATGGCTTTTATTTCCGCCTGCCTACTTAGAGGAGCACGCTGTGGTGGCTGTGGTGATGTAATCGTAAAATTATTTTGTGTGCCGGTTGGAACTTTTCGAGGTCTTCCTCGCTTCCTTACCTCTGGGTTCACCTATATACCACTAAGCACTGGAGGTTTATATTCTTCAGTGCTGCTGCTGCTACTACTTTTAATACTTTCGCACGACAAGGCTGGTTTCGTAGACTGCACTTTATTTACCCTGTAACCACTGGGAATCTGAGGCAAAGAAGCTTCAATATTTTCCGACTTGTTGGCCAACGCATTCGATTGTTGACTGATTGACTCCGAATCTGATTCATCGGAAGAAGAGTCACTCAATCGTCTGCATTTAAAGCTTGACAAGCTGCTGTTCACCTTATCTTGGAGATTTAAAAGCCTGGACTCCAACTCTTCCGACTTGAAATGAGCCGGAGCCGAAGCCGGAGTCGGAGCCGCAATTTGAGTGCGTTCGACGGATGCTTCCCTGGAGCTTGCCGATGAACTACTGCTCGAAGATGTTTTGCTTGAAGACGAGCTACTGCTCGAAGATGAGCTTCTGCTCGATGAAGAGCTTCTGCTCGAAGAAGAACTGCTGCTGCTGCTTGAACTGCTAGATGATGTGTTCGACATGATGAACAACTGTTAAATGAATACCTTCGATTTGCAAGCATCTCCTTTTATACTCGAAAATTTCAGCAATGACAGTTTTATTGCACTACAAACTACCTACTACTGCCTTACAAATTTTGAAAAAGCGCGCCAAACGAAGAGTTTGAAGCAGCGATTACTGGTACAACTACTTTCTAACACTGCAGATAAATAAAAAATAATAATGAACATTATTATAAACTTTTAAGTATAATAATTAACATCTTCCGTATTTAATTATAATACAAAATTATTGTTAAGGATTTATTCTTTAAATAATTGTATAAAGAAGTACTTTCTTAATTATTGTCAAAAGTAACAAAACAAGTTTTGCTTGTTAAACAAATAAAAAATAAACTTATTGTTTATATTAACATTCAGTTAATAAATAATGTTTTTCAAAATTTTTCAGGAGATTTCAAATAAAAAAAACAATATTATCCACTTCAAAAATTGATATTTAGTAAATTATTTGAAAAATGTAATATTCAATGCCAAGTTAAAATAAAAAAAATCGTTAATAATTATATAAGAAAAGCTTTAAATAACTTTAAACTGTTAAACTTTTTTGTTAAACATATATTTACTACTTTTTTAATTATCGTCAAAAGTAACAACTGGAGAAAACAAGCAAAACAAAACATTAATAAAATAAATGTTTATATCAATTTAAAAAAAAAACATGAAATTTATAATTAATTTTGTATGGAATAAAAATTGTGCAACGGAATTAAGAAAGTTGAAAAACTTTGCTATAAAGATTCAGTAATTATTAATATTATTTAATTCATACAATGTATTTTTTCATACAATGTTAAAATAATTAGTAAAATTATGATTAATTAATTATAAACTAAAGCATTAAATTAATAAATAATGTTTCGTGCTACTTTTCAGTAGATTTGCAATAAAATTTGCAACTTTATTCATCTCAAAAATTGATATTTAATATCAATGTTTAAATAAACGTATTTTTTTCATACAATGTTAAATAATTAGTAAAATTATGTTTAATTAATTATAAACTAAAGCATTAAATTATTTAATAATGTTTATCCACTTGTTTTCCGTAGATTTACAAAGATTATTCCAACTTTTACTCATCTCAAAAATTTGTAAGTAATGAAATAATAAACAAGAAATAAACTAGTAGGAAGGCAAAATTATTTTCAATTAATTCCTTTAATTTCTTAGTGAAGAGACCGTCAAAATGTATAGTTAAGATGATAGTGATAATGATGATTATTATTAAAAACAGGTTCACGAACAAAAACGATTTCCAGGAATCGTTCCAGAATATTTGACGAACGTTAACCCTTTACTTCTGTAAGGTAAAATCACAAAAGAAAGTTTCTCTTTAATGCACTTATAGAAGAAGAAAATTATTTTTAATTAATCGAAATAATTTAATAAACTTTTTATTCATTAATTTATAGCTTTGTTTTACTTTTATGAATATAAGTAATACCTTGCATAGTGCGGGTAACCGGTTCTGTTTGAAAACCTACTATTCGATGAATAGGACAATAATTCTGATAGCGCGGCTTCAATCAGTCCGGTTTCAAAATTTGAAAAGAAAGTAAATTTTTGGTAAGCAAATTAAAAATTAATTTACTCAACATTTTTTTTATACATAAATGACCTTTTTATACACTGAACTGTCTTTTTGTAAGGTATAGTTTTCTATGATTTTGGTTGCTTGATTAGTACGATATTAAAGAGTACGGAATACGAAACAGACGCACTGTGCAAATTATTGCTGTAAACGAAAGAGAAAATTAATTTAGACTGCTTAGCGGAATTTAAACCATAATATTTTACTATTCGTTTTTATACAATAATTCTGATAACGCGGCTTTATTCAGTACGGCTTGAAAATTTCAAAAGATAGTACATATAAATTAAAAATAAATTAAAAAAAATATTACTCAAAATTATTTTTTTCTACATAAATGTATGTTTTTTGTTCCATTAGACTCAACTATCTTTTTCTACGGTTTATTTTTGTTTGATTCCTTGATTGGTTCCTTGATTAGCGTGATATTAAAGAGTATGTTATATTGACGAAACTGATTACCCGCACTGTGCGAGGTATTGCTGTAAATGAAAAAAAAAACAAAATTAATAATTACTTTTGCTTTATCAATTTAGTTACGTTCTTTGAACGAATTTCCATGTAACAAATCGTTGCCATGGGAACTGAATGTGTCTTAATTAAGCAATTAATAGTAGTTTATGAACGTTGGCGTGTCTTAAGGTTGGCGTGTCTTCGGCAAATAGCATTAACGAGATTTAAATTCGATTAGGGGATGCGATTTTTTTTCCACGTCTCGCAACTATTTTAATCCAGTGTTTAAAGAACGGATCTAAGCAGCTTTAGGAGTCAAGTAGCTTACGTGAACCAATTTTCCTTTTGGCTCTCCAACTTGCTCTCCCATGTCCATACACATATCCATATTCACCGGTGGATTTTCTGGTAGCGT